AAAAGGCAGTTGTTTCTCCTGAACCAGARAMTCAAAAGGATATTGAAATGTTTAACTGCCATACACCTTTTGTGTTCCATGATTCTGAATATTCCATTTGCCTATTCTGTTATAGAAGTCATTGTTATGCTTTCAAAAGTCAGGATTGAAAAAATGGTACATTGTAACTAAAATACATTATTCAGGGTCAGGAGAAGTGGTTAGACATTTCTCTATTTCTAATTCAACACATCAGGACTCTTTGGATAGCGAAGCTATTTTATTGCAGTTCTGTAAATGGTCCAGTTAAGCATTTGCATTTCTTTATTTACATGTAATGGTTTCACCAAYGGATACTGAGGGAATTACAACAGAGCAAGGCTTCAAAGAGACTTTTAGAGTGAGCCAGTCACTGAGGGTGGTCACATCCAGGATTTGTTACATACTCAGAAAATGATGAAAACTAGTGGTAAACTAGTATCAAATGTCAGTAAGTTCTTAAACCTTTTTGCAGTGTAAAATTGATCTTATTTCACAACTTCATCCTCAATAGTTCATTTTACATCCCTCAATGCAGTATAAAGAAGTGTAGCGAGACAGACCTTCCCATTTTAATGTTCTTAATGGAGAAGACGTGATGATCTAGCCAATTGCAAGGGGGAGAAACAAAGGGAGTACTCAATACATGTATCTCCTCAGAACACCTGACCTCCCACACGATACTCCAGTGCTCTACCAACTAAACTAACTGATTGCATCTATATGTACATCAATGTCATTTTTATTTCTAAAACTGCAGATTGCAGTTATTACTCACCTGGTGTACTGTACCATCTATTTCAACTGGAACAATGAAGTCTGCTCCACTGACAGGCTGTACAAAAACAAACTCCCATTAAAATACAGACCTACAGCATTTGGATGGGTAACACTAATGTACTGCCGTTATTTTTAGACAAAATGTTGCAAATATTTAGTCTTTAATATCACATTATTTGCACTTCTTTTTATGCAAAAAAACTAGCAAAAAAATACTGTTGTATCACAACTTCAATGAATGGAACTTTATACAGACAAATACTGTATAATGCCTTTTTAGCTTTGTTAGCTTGAAAACAAGTAATGAATTGCRGCTAGCAATATATTCTTTGTAGTTATTTGACTTAAATGTACATAAAGTATTGCTGTTGTTGTTGTTAGCTAAACAATTGCCTTGCTTTGATGCAAAGGATCAACATTTTTTTGAATACAGGTTTACAAAATGACAAACGCATTTGTGGAAGTCAAGGAGATGAACAAACTTCAAGACATGTATTTCCTAATAATTTACACTATTCATTTTAGGATGATCAAATAAAAAAGMCAAATTTTATTTAAAGTCATTTCATTTGTCACCTAGGTTATTACACAACATAATTTATTTTTTTCAAAACTTCATTAATCAGAATAAAATTTGAGTAGACTTTTATCTCAGCTGCATTAACATACAGCTGTAAATTCTCTAATTCTTTCCAATTGTTGTCTGAATTTAATCAAGACATCATAATTATACTATTTCCCCTTTGTAATTAAAGTTAATGGTTTTGACTGTTTACAAACCAAACAAATTCAGCAAAGTTTACATGGAATATATCAACTGGTGCCAAGATACTGTTAGTATCCAAAACATTTTAACCTAATATATCGTACCTTAAATGAACTGTGTACAAGTGTTTCATCAAGGTCAATTACAACACATTTCTTYCCCATATCCTGGTGTCTGACTGGTGGGAGTAGAAAATGATATGGCTGAAAAAAATAGACAACAAGTCGTGATTTAAATTCAAATAATTTTTTCGTTCATAAACAAATCCTGTCTTGTCCCTTGACCGACAATAAAATAATTCCTTGTATTTTTTTTTAGCATTCCTTGTATATTTTTTAGTATAAGTAGTATTATTTGAATTAGTATTGTTTAAAGGGCTAGTATTTTGACTCATGGTTGAATTAAAGCAGATGATAAAATGAAAGAATAAATAAAARAACTAGAAAATTGATATGAGCTTGATTGAATGATTTTATACTTTGGGATGAGAAAATTAATGCTTAAATGGTCACTTTATTGATAAAAAAGGATATCACATTATTTACTTCCTTCTCCATATCTATTCATATTAATTTTGTGAGCACTTAATATCAGGAAATAATTGTAATARGCATATTTGAATATTTATGTTTTTGCTGTTTATGTGTTTCAAAAAATGTGAAAATTCAAGAGGTACTGTCATGTATTGTATCATTAARCTGTCAAGTGAAAAGCTTSAAGTTTGACACAACCGAAAAAAGGTACATTGTCCAACCTTTATCATAAATAGTTAACTATTAAGTAAATTGCTGTTTCCTTAGAAACAAATATCAWTATCACAAACAGGAAGCAACAGTATTGTGTATCTGATAAATGAAATATTTTAGCATAATTATTATGTAATACTGCAAAAATAACAATACCTTGCCATTCTATATCATTATATCTATAATTTTATATTATTGAAGAATGAGATTTTAATTAACAGACATTTGTTTTGCAATACTGGCCTTAACTTTCCACATGAAAAAATATGTAAACATCAGGAAGGAATTTTCAAAATAAGCTTATAAATCAAGTCTAGATACAAGTAGAAGATATTTTCGAAGAAACAGCAACTAAAGAATGTATATGCATTTGAATCTTGCACAGTGTAACTGCACGTAAAAAAGGGTTTTCTGATTGTTGTTATCATTTGAAAGCTTTTCTTGCCTACAAACGTCATATTGGTGAAAGTGTCATATAAATTTAGTACTGTACCAGACACGTCTCAAGTTTTGAAACACATTATAGCGGAATTTRTGGCCTAAAGTTGCTGTTAATATGAGATTTGCATCATAATACGTGCAAAGTTTTGATGCTATACTTAACAAATGACAGCTGGTAAATATTGGATGCCTTACTGGTACTAGCATAAACAAAATGCAATGATGTTTTCAATGTATACTCATTCCCTTTATTGACTAATTTGTCCTTTTGAATAAATTATAATTTTCAAACTTTAATTTTGTGTTCCAACTGCCTAAAAAGTGCATTTCCTGGTTTTTAGTCACGAGTATTTTAAGTAAAAGGCGTAATGCTCTTTGATACAAGAATTTGGCTTGTAGAACAATCAGTTCATTTATGTTTTTACTCTTATTTCCACAAGAAAGAAAAGTCACCATTGATTACTTGTGCACTACAGGGGGCTACAGGCGGCGAAGCTGCAATAATACTTAATCCTTGCTTTTCGAATATACGAACAGCTATTCCAGTCTTAAATACACGAAATAACAGGGAAAAAATACCCTATTGAAAGGATCAACTTAGAAGGAAAGCACGTATGACTTTTAAAGACGAAATARAGAACCCACGTATGGACGGAAGAGGACATCATGTCACGGGCGCCAAAAACTAAAATCACAACTTTCATTTAAACGTTTGTTTAACAATTTACGAATACAACACTAAATAAGCCTACCTTAACGTCGTTTTCATCGCTTATCGTGTTGGCATTGTGATTATGATTTGTGTTGTGCGTAACGACAGTGCACGGAGATCCTGCAGTCGATTGAGCTCCAAAACAACAGAAGAACGAAGAGAATATATTTCTATTACGAGGTTTCTTTGCTATTGTCGAAGGTACTGCAAAAAGGAAGAGACGATCAGTTCAAATAGTGTTTCTAGGCTGTCTTTCCTAATAAACTGTGCATTGATCTAGCCACAACTGGTTAATTTTGGTGTATTTAAGCAGAGATCAACCATGCCGATCTGATGAGAAGTAAAGATCAAGACGTTGAACTAAACAGACAATGGGAATCTACTTTCAAGGCCAACAATAAGGCTTCGGTGATTTGCAAAGCCTTCAAATGACTTCAAACTTCTCGTTAGTGATTCTAGAAGCCATAATCATCACAGAACGAGCAGATGAATTCGATTTTCGCACGTCATGATTCCCGGGCAAAAGTGCATTGCACATTTTCAGAGCTTTCAAACTTACGCTTGTCTTGTGTATAAGTGTTGGTAACTGCTATAGGTTCATCTTCTTTGTTRACTTGTGTTATAATGGACGTGTTGTCCATTGGAATAAGGCCTCTCCGAGGCGCAATTTTGAATTTCTGTGGGCAAACTAAGTAAAAATATCAATTGTTTTTCCTAAAACCAAATGATCTCTCTTCGGAATTGTTATAAATTATGGGCTGCATGCAAGAAATTGATTGACAGCAACACGATACGGGATTGTTTAAAGACGCTCACTGATTGGCTAATAAGTTAACTACATGCCATTTGAAATTAAGTAAGTTTTTTCTTTGCATTTCAATCATTTTTTCCTCTGGTATTTTTTTCTTTTATGATATTTTATATTATAGTCTCTTTATTTTAGTAAAATAACCTATTTCCAAAAATATGGAAATTTGATGCAACTCTTTACGCTAACCGAATATAATGCAGCCAGGTCAGGAAAATTAGAATATGAATGGAAGTTGAATGACGTTCAATTGTTGCACATCTTGCATCTTTATTKCTTTAAATAAGATTATATCCGCTCTTTACTGCTTAAAACCTGGAACATTATTCGTACGCTCTGTCTGGTTCCGACAGATGGTTTTCGATCCAAGAGACAATTTTTTAAAAAAATAGTGTTAAATATGGCACGAGCAGCCCTAATAGAGGGTCGTGTGGTCGCCCGTTAGCAAATTGCAAAACCAACGAGTATTCATGGATGGAAATATGTAAAAAAAAAAAAAAGAACAAAGGGTGAGGTTGTTGTGAATGAATCAGTGTTGGTTATTTTAAATGTTTTGAAATTTTTATCTGGAAAAATTCCATATTTTCACGAAATTCATGTTTGTTGAGCTCATGAATTGTTTTAGTTGCTATACAATCAACTCAGAACTTTTGAATGCTGAAGAGCACTGTGTCAGTGAGACGTCAAAAGAAAAAAAGTCCAATGAAATATGGATCATAAAAGACGTCTTATCGGATGAGTGATCTCAAAAAAACCTTACGCAATTTGTTATYAGAAGTGCCAAGCAAGAATCAAAGTCAAGATACAAATCAATTGACTGTCTGTTGCACTGATAAAAAAGTTTATTAAAAAATCATTAAATATACATGAAATTTGTAAAGATTAAAAGCCATAAATATGAATAAATATTATTAATAGGGTGATATGAGAATAAGATTCGAATGACCACACCCATTCATCGTGCGTCTTGTTCATCTCAKTCATTTATCACGATCTAAACAAGACGAGAAAAAGGCTACAGGTTGTAYAATGTTCTTTAAGAAAAATACAATGCGATTTATAATATAAAAACTCTTGGCAGCTTGTCAAGGAAATATAACTATTATTAGAATCTCAGTGACCGCCTATTTGAAGGTGTGTTCATCAAGGGAAGCTTGTAATGCAAGATCAGGTAGTGCTTTTGTGAATCCATCACGKCCATTCAAGAAGAACGTACTGATGGTACCTTTACCCTGAAATGGTAATGACATAAATCATTACATGTAAATTGCACAGAATTTCAATAAGAAAAGGCAAATTTAGGTTATTTGGATCCATTTTGTATCGGGTGTTCTTTAGTTTCTACCGTTTTGAAGTTATTTGAAGTAATCAACATGTCTTTTACATAGCTGACTTGTTTTGAATAGTGGAGTTTGCTATTTTGAGATATAATATGTTCAAAGATGTACAAGGTGAAGATTTTTTGTAATTACCTTCATGTTGACTTCACCACGTTCCTCGAGATGGTATCCACCAAGATCTTCTAATATAGATCCACATTCAGGACTTATATGAATGCGCAAAGCTGAAAAAAATATAGAAAGATAAGCCATCAGTAATAACATTAACTAATGATTAAYAATAAGTTGATTACGTCATCACTATATCATTTTAGTAATTCAGTTGTCATCGCCATCATAACGTCATCATCAYCGTCGTAAGGTCATAACTATAGTATCTCCGTACCTAGACCACTAGACTCGATTCGTGATGCATAGTTAACTGTATCGCCAAACAAGCAGTATCGTGGCATTTTAAGTCCAACTACCCCAGCTACACATGGACCTGCAAGAAATGACAAAATTTGTGATAAACAGTATTAATTTYCCCATGAAACTCTTTTACGCATTTTTCCCCGCGCTCGTCGCATTAGTTGTACACAGTTGCTTCAAAATCTGTTAGGCTACCTGATGCATTGTTTTACCTGAGTGAATTCCAATACGYAGTTGCAGCTGGCGTTCTGGCAAATGACGAACTCTAAATGTGGTCATGGAGGCGAGTAAATCCAACGATAAGTTTGCAATTTCACCAGCATGGCGATTTCCATTTCTGTTGGGTAGACCCGATGCAACCATGTAGGCGTCGCCAATGGTTTCAACCTAAAAGAAATATTACCAAATTAGTAAACGATTGCTACTTTTTTGACAAAGCTATAGGGACATTATAGATGGAATCTCATTTAATGCTCACACTGATTGATATGCAAACGTGTTTTATGATTTAATATTAAAAACAATGCTGTGCTTTCAAGTTATCGCTGCTGACTATAAAGTTGTTGAGGAAAAACAGAACAGCTGAAGAGGTGCGATTTTGCCTTATACTTCTCCTGACCCTTCTCTATTGCTTTGACKTTYCTCACAGCATGCTTTCTGCTTGCACACGCGTCGTTTATTCCTTCAATACATCTGATTGCACGTAAATCAATTCCATACTAATATCTATCGGCATTTCACAAAATGTCTTGAAAACCTACCTTGTAAACATCATGCATGTCAATGATGTCGTCAAAAGTAGTATACAAGTCGTTCAATAAATCAACAACCTATACAAAACAACGAAAGTAATATCGTTGGATGAATATTGAGCAAGGAATTACTAATATTTCTTGAGATGTGCGTAAAACAATTGCGAAGTCGTGATAAATAGCCTGCACAACAAAATACATGTTTTCCTGACTATTTTACCTGCAGTGGAGTGCTATCTGCTGCAAGTTTCGTAAAACCAACAATATCGCTAAAGAAAATGGTCACCATTTCAAACGTCTCGGCCGTTACAGGATGTCCACGTTTAAGTTCTTCTGCAACGCTCCTGGTATTAYATATAAAAATATCACTTTGAAGCCAAGAACCATATTTTATAGTTTGAGGGAAATGTTCGCACTTGCGTATTATGTTATAAAATGTCATTTCTTAACAGAGGGCGCTCTAAAGGAGAGCCAGGGGGACCAATGACAACTCTTTGGGGCTCCTGCTTAAATACATATAGAAATGCATAATCAGACAAAGGACCAACAGACCAACACAAAGTTTTCAGATGTGCCTTCCCTAGGTCCACCCCATTTCCATACGCCATGGCTAAAATCCCAAGAAGATACTTTTCGCCGCATACAAATATCAGTGTAAATGTAACATCAATTTACTTTGGTAACATCCTGAATAAAAGCTCGTCTGTTTTCTTCTTTTCTTCTTGAAGTTCTTTGGTCCTTTCAGAGACGATTTCTTCCAAATGATCCGTGTACTTCTCCATCATTGCAATCATGTTGTCCATGATGTTGATATCTCTGAAAATTATATATGAATTAAGAATAGTTAAGATATGATAAAAAAAAAATTAAAAAAGGTAGGCATTAATATTTTGTTTKTTTGTTTTGAGGACATTTACTCACTTTCCTTTGTTCATTTGCCTGAGATTCTTCAAGCAGTCAGAGAATTTAGGTCGATCTAAAGGATTTTCGCTCCAGCAGTTTTTCGCCATCTTAATGTAGACGGRGCTTTCAACCAAATCTGCGGTAATGCGAGGACGGAAAGGCGGGTCTTGCCCTTTCTTCACCCGTTCAACGACGACTTTTTAAATAAAGAAAGAGAACAATAATCAAAACAAAACTGAATTCTGTTTGTTTGGTACAGAGCTGAGGGACATGGTCTTGCATCTTTTAGATATATTTGCTTGGTTCTTAACTCCCATCTGTTTGTTCCTTACTTTTTTGGTCGATGTCCTCATACATGCTGTAAGGTAGTCCACGACAAACGAGTTCAGATAATATAATACCATAGCTGAAAACATCGCCTGCTTGTGATCTTGGRTCTGCATCATTGAAGATGTGTTCTGGTGCAGCCCACAAAAAGTCTACAATAAAATGGTCAAAAAAGTAATAAATAAACAGTAGTGACCCTCAAGAACATATGTAGAGTTGATATTTCAAGCCTTTTAAGAACAACTTCATATGGGCCTGCAAAAGCTTAAGTTTACCATAGTACTTAGCGTCTACTCCGGCTTCCTCATCTTGTGCCTGTCCTGCCTTGAAGGCTACGAGGTCATGGTCGGTTACCTTACATGTCCATCGGTTGTCAATKACAACGTTGGAAGACTTCAGATTTCCGTGAACTTTGATGGCGCTGTTGTGGAGATGCTGCATTCCCTTTAGGATAGGTATGAAGTGTTAGGATTTGGTTCCTTATTTGCTTTGTGGCCATGATAAACATTACTTACCCTCGCAATATCGGACGCAATAGCCAGTTGAAACATCCAGTCCAGTTTAAGTTGATCATTATGGAGTACATCCTAATAACAATATCAAAAAGYGTTATATAGTGTCAGAGTGAAACGGAAAGACAAAATACTAGCCTGYAAGCTTCCTTTGTTRCAGTAACCTTGCAGGATACAAATATTTGGAGCCTCCACGCAAGCGCCAATGAATGGGTTGACATTAGTATGACTGAGGTCYCTCATCTGAAAGTAAAGACGATTTTATCATGAGTTCGTTTCATTATCAATTTGATTTTCAGATTGGTCCAGGGAAGCCCTATCTTGAAGAGAACGTGTTGTAGGCTTAGACTGATGCCTGATCTGGAGACGATGACTTGTAAATTTTCCATCAGCAATCATCGTTTATCATCATGTTACAAATGATGGTGATGACATTAAAGCGCATTTGCTAATTAAAAAGTATTCTGTTTTTGTTTTTTGTTATTGCTGTTTTTGTTGTTGTTGTTGTTGTTTGTTTGTTTGTTTATTGTTTCGTAAAGGAATCAAGGATGATTGACTATAGATGCATTCCTTTTCTGGACTCTCACTTTGCCGTGTTCCTCCAAGAGCTTCTAACTTCACTTACCTCTTTTAACTCTACCAAGACTTCGCGGGTCAAGTTAATACTTGGTTTTAAKATTTGCTTCACAGCTACATAATTKCCCTAGAAAATAAGCCAATGATTTTTATCGGAAATTATTTTTCATTTACAAGACGATTATCGGGTAGGTTGAAAAGTTCTGAATTAAACTTTAATGTAAGCGTCATTTGCATGACATTCTTGTCCCTTCGACTTGCAAATTCTAAACGATTGTACATCGTTTTTTGATCCTTTTTTGGCAGTAAAATTGTTAAAATTGGTATATAAATTCGTAATGAGCTCTTACCTGATATATTCCAAGGGTAGTGAAAACTTGTCCTTTCACATCACCACCTTCAGAGCCACCTTCGCTTGCAACGCTCATCTACAATAGATTTACAGAATCCAGTGAAGTTACATTTAGTAATTTAATAGTTATGTGTCTGGAAAAATGACGTACCATACTCTTTCTGCTTCCAAACGCTTTGCCAGATTTAGGCCATTTGATATCGTCGTACTTGATTCTCCAATGTTCTGCTAAAAGAGCAGCTTCAAARGCTTTTTTCCTGCAAAYAAATTTTTCAGTTTGAATTGATTGCATGMATGGTAGTATAACATGGTCCTCAGATGAAAAAGAAGAACTGAAGAAGACAAGAAGAACTTTTTTGTTTTAATAAAGTTCTTCTTCTTCTTCAGTTCTTCTTCTAGATGCTGTGGTTTTGACTGTCAAAATGTACAATCGAGACCATTCACATGCGATGTTGACATCATGTGATAATTTATGCACAACATTCCMGAAGAATGATAATGATGATAATACTATGCAAAAGTTTTATCAGCAAAACGATGCATGACCCTGTGCCTCTATTAGATGCAATTTTAAAGCAATACTGACCTCTGATAGACAAGGAATCCAACCAGACCTCCGACAGTAAATACAAAAACAAGTACCCCAGCCAGAATGTACGGCCAGGTCTCAGTTTTTTCTGAAAAAGATCAAAAAAGTATTCTCATTTTATCCAGTGTAGGTGGTAGCTATCAACATTATTCCAAAATCACTAGATTAACTTAAAAAGGAAGACGCAAAGTGAGCTAAAGTGGCAGACAAATTACACTGATGTTGCAATTGCTCACGCAAAGATCTGCCATTGCCGGGATTGAGACTTTTGATGCTTTTGATCGCGCTAACCTTCAGGTTTTGGAGGGCAAAATTCCATATCAAATCCGCAAGGTGGACGTCCAAGAGGAGCGGTTTCACTTCCACCGGGCCAAACAATAGTGGTAGTATTTTGAAATTGGTAGGATTTCGATGGTCCATGGAATATTGCAAACGTGTGAAATGTCCCTCCTTTGCCTATTTCAAGTTGATAAGAAGTGACTCTGTCTCCGTTATCGTCGATCTCCAGGTCTCCAGATTTTCCTAAAAGATAGCATCATTTATTTGCATCAAAAAATGTCTTCAGTAACATTTTCCTAATCAAATGTATCATCACTGGGGAATATGACGTTTTTGCAACAAACATTTTAATATATAATTTTATTACCATAAAATCCACTGCCGAACATTTCTTTGATGATTGCGGTTCCATTYGTGATGTTTATTCCTTTTTCTAAGGAGGAGTTCAGAGCTTTTGCATAGAGATAAATGGAATCGTGAAGATATGCGCTGTATATGTTCACCTAAAACAAGAAGTCGGTTAGTATATAAACAGGCGCGTTGCAATCTCTTCAATTTTTTCCTTGGGACAGACTAAAAAGTAACTTTTACCTTATCCACTGATGCAATGTTATATCCCATCTCAGGTGCACGATCGTATACTTCCTTTGCAAAGTTATTGTATGCAGTATCTTTTGGTAAAAACACGTTAATGTTGATGAACCCCTCAAAAGCTTTACATGCCTCAGTATCTCTTCCATCGTTTGCGGTACACGAGTCGAATATGTTTTCAATGCCCAGAAACACGTAAGTACCATCGAGCATTCCAAGATCATGRGCTGCTAACATTAGCTGCCGTACTGGTCCACCATAAGCTCCAAATACGAAGACTAAAAGAAAGCAAAGTATAAGTTTGCTTCGTGGCAACATTTCTTTGTATAGAAGTGAATGGAAAATGAGTAATTACCGTGTGCTAGCTCGCGAGCTGATGTGAACATAGCTTGGAGAGTGCTATCTGCAACTGTCGTCACGTCAAAGCTTCCAAAGTAAGGAACTTTGTAGGTCGAATTTCCAGCTTCCATMGTTACTTTGACTCGGTTRCACATTGCAGACCAAAGACTTTCCGTAGAACAGAGTAAAGCTATTCGATCCCACTTATAAACACTGAGAAATGCTTTCATGAGGTCTCCAATAAGATTGTACGTACCAACTGTTCGAACAAAGTTTGGATAGAGTACCTTGTCACTGAGAGAAGATTCAGAACAACCCCACGCTACCATGGGWAGGTTCCATTCAAGTGCAATATGCCCTCCTGGAATACAGCCTTGGGAACAGCCTGGTCCAATGTAAGCATCTACTGGTGGGTCTTCTTCAACGTACATRTGTAGTAAATTTGCRATGGTACTTTTGGCCTCGCATCTACTGTCGCGCATCGTATAGGTGAGGGTGTGGGGCTTTAGTAAGTCGGACTTATTATTGATGGTGTCCAATGCAATAAGGATGGCAGACGCCATGTTTGGACCACCAGGCCAAACGCCTGTGAAAGGAACGTTGATTCCCAACTTTATTTCACGAGCTTGCACAGCAAGAACAARAGCAAAACAAACCAACAAAATTGGYTTTAACATTTTGCTGTAAGCAGACCAACTATCTGAGGAGAGATAGAGAAAAAAAGCGATTAGACGTTTTCTCTTTATGCGTCACCACCTTTCTCGCAAAGTAAGCTTACATGACTTATGAATTTCGAGGTATTATTTCAAGGCTTCTGTCTTCAACTGATTTCTCAAAAACATTTCAAAGTGGTGTGTCGATCTAATTTGATTTTGCACAACAGTAGACAAGAAATCATTTTTATCGAAATATTTTAAACAATGAAATAAAACCATCACTTAAAAATACTAAAACATTGATGTTAATATCAGCAGGGTTCGTGCTAGATTTTCCCTACAAAATTAAAGGACTTCTCAAGTACTTTTTAAGAACAAGAATGCAATTTTTAAGGAGTAGTTTTGAAGATATTTTTTTATGTTTGCGGACGTTTCAAGTGGCGATTTTTTAAAACAGACACATTTCAATCTAAAAGCTAACATTCAACATGTCAATTTTACCAGATTCAAGGAGTTTTCCAAGAGTTTCAACGATTTTCCCCATTTTCAAGGACTTTTAAGCGCCATTGAAAAATAATTTTCAATTCCAGGACTTTTCAAGGACTTTAAGGAGTAGCACGAACTCTGTATCAGTTATTTATATTTTAAACAATGAAACAAAACCATTACTTGAAAATAAAACTTAAAATTGACGGTTTTACACTATTATCAGGCCTATAGTTCATAAACAAGAATGAAAATCTAACAAAATGTTTGCTTCTGCTGACGGCCACCTCCCAGTTTTCCGTTGTGCTTTTACATTTTGTTCACTTAGACTAGGCATACAAAACTATCTAAGAATACCTATAAATGTTTACCTCAAAAATGAGCAATTTCGGAAGTTGAAATGCTTGTAAAATCTTTACTCGGGCTTGTGTTTTCGCAAAACGGTCGCCCTCCCCAAWMWCKCAAAACCACTGTTGTTTTTACTTCTTTCAGATCCAGTCCTGAAAAGAATGATACAATTTTAAAAAAAGATACAAAAAATAGAATAAATCAATTTCAGAATTCTAATAGTTTCTAACTTTTGTAGTTTAAAAGGGGTCAAAAAGAAACTGACAAGCAGTGAAAACGGGACACCGTTTCCTTCAAAGCGAGAATTGGTGACAAAACAAAAATGTTTCCGATAAGTTTAATCGTAATTCAAGTTAAACCAATGAAAAATCACTTTAAATACTGWTTGAAGCAATAATACTCTTACCTTAAAAAGTTGCAATGGCATATAAAAACTCAGCAGGAAAACCAAGTTATCAAGTAAAAGTTTCACCGCCTTTTTACAAATCTGCCACTCAAAACCATTCAACTGTCACGCGATCACGTCATTTGACGTTGATGTGCTTTTCTTATTGGCTGATTCAACTTTGAAATACGCGCCATTTTAGGGACTTTAGAAACACACAGGAACCCCGCTGCAGCTCGTCAAAAAGAAAACAAACAGCGAGAACAGGCAGATTACTTCTTTAATGCTAATATTTCGTGTTTTGGCGAAGATTTTATCCGCGTTTATCGATGGAAAAGTGCATAGAAATTTATTGATAAAAGAGAAGCGCAAACTGATGAGAAGTTTGCTCCGCAAGATTTATCGCGGGTCGTGAAACTATCGAGCGCACGCGCGCGCGCTTTCCGTGATGATCATCCACTTGGAATATCTATATTTTTTTGTTTTCAAGAAGTGCATGGATTATATATCCAAGGTGTCTGCAATGGGCTAAAAACTACTACTCTGCGAACAGAGCTACTTTTCTCACCCGCCSAGAAAGTAGCTCTGTTCGCAGAGTAAAAAATTATTACTCCTATCATTTAAAAAAATGTCATATTCAGGTTCCCTTCTTGCCGAGAACGCTCGCAAACAATCTTCCACATAAAAAGATTTTAATTCTTGCTAAGTCAATTTACATCAAAGTATATGGTTTTAAAACTAAGATCAATCCATTGACCACGTCCCAGCCTGTTTTAAGTGGTATAACGTTTCAAATGGATGAGAAACTGAATATGATATGATCCATAGCTAATAAAGTTTTTATTAAATACTTACAATAGTTTCTATGTTCACTTATGCTTAGTAAATTGCAGTTTAACAGGGTTATTGAAATCATTTAA